CTTGCCAAAACAACCCTGCCACTGCTCCAGCACAGCCAGGATCACGGCTGCCGGTGACGGAGCGTCTCTGCTGCTTCCATCTAGTTTCAGGGGAAAAAAGCAGCTGCAGATTACTTAGCTGGCTTAACAGCGATGGACTGAAAAAAATACGAAAGCCCAAATCTTTGAAGGGCAGATTTAACTGGTACTAAGGCTATATTTGCATAAGACTTTATTTGGAAACGAGTAAAGGCAATTTGCTTCAGATGGAATAAGTTGCAGCCTGGAGATGTTTCTCTATGCAGATCAGAGCCCATGAAGGTAAAATACTCAATTTATGGTCTCTAAAAACACCCCATGTATTAGAAGTGAGGTGCTCTTAATCGAGAGAGCAATCATTAGCAGCTGCGTATCTGATTGGTGCAAAGGCAGTAATACCAAGCAGGCTCTTGGAAATCATTTGGGACAGATTTGGAAGCCTCCACCTCTTTCTTCCCACAGCTCCCCCCAAATTCTCTACTGTTTCACATCTGGGCTCCTTCTCAGACCTCCAACTCTCGCCTCTTCATTTACATTGGATCTAGATGCAATAGAGGCGAAACAACAGATTTTATTTCAACTGGGTCATCCGCATCTTTGGGGCCTGGGGATTGGGTAGCAGCCTTGTCCTGGAGCCTTGGACCCAGGCGAGAACCATTCGGCTCCTGTAGATTTATGTTCTGTGGTTATGAGGGATGACAAAGGCAAAAGCTCCTGCAGGCAGAGTGTTCTCTGAATATAGAGGAGGGGATCCTGACAGTCCCAGGGTTCCAAAGATTGGGCTGTCACAAAATAAAGCTAAAATTGATTTAAAAAAACATCCTAATAACGGCTGTTGATCGTTAGCATTCATTGGGCTTTACTAGGTGCCGAACATTATGGCTGAGTGCTTAAATATATTACCTCCTTTGTCCTTAAAACAGCCACGCAGAGTAGGCATTAAGTGGACATTTATAGATGAGGAAACCGATGCTCAGAGCAGTTAATTTTCCAAGTTTGCCAGCTGGTCAGCTGTGAGGCCAGTCTAGTGTTCTTGGTCGTTTCATTCGACTGCCTCCCCCAGCCTGGGCTAGAAAGGGCGTAGATTCAGACTCTCTGGAACGCCTCGCTCAATACTTCAGTAAACGACTGCAGCCAGTGGTCACTGACCAAATACTGTGGCCTCACTCCCTGCTCTAAGTCTTTTAATGGCTCCCCATTAGTTTCTGGCATAAAGTTCAAATTTCTTAACATGGTAGAAGGACCATAACGATCTGGCTCCAGGAAGCTTTGGCGGCTCACCTCCTACTGAGTCCTACACGTACCTTATGCTTCAGCTCTGTCTGCGCCGGGGACTGCCATGCTCTCTGATCCCCTGCATTGGCTCATCCTCTTCCTCTGGTTAATTCTCACACCACCACCCAGACACCTTCAAGATCAAGGTTGTTAGAAGCATCTCCTGAGCTCCCCAGGCTCCAAGGGATGCCTTACATTATCTTAACCCTTTGTGTGTACACCTAGAACATTAATCATATTGTGAATTATTGATTTTCTTCTGTTCTCCCATAAGGTGGTGACTAATTTAAGGGGAGGGATTGTGTCTTTTTTAATCTAAGAACTGGCAGTCATTTGCACAGTACCTGGCACCTTGTAGACACTTAATGAATGCTGATGGCCTGTCTGAATGAACAAGACTTCAACATCGTTTGAGAGCAGTCCTACCATCTCCTTGGGTAAGGAACAAGGCAGAGCGTGAAATCAATGCAGCCAGTGCATTAACATGCTTACATTTTGAAGCAACATCTGATAAATCCGATTGCAGTACCACTAGCTTAGGCAACCAAGTTATGTCAAGTATGGTAATAAACTTTCTGTAACTGATGAGAGAACCAAGGACGGAGAGGAGCAGACAGTTAAGGAAAGAACTGGAAGACTCCTGGAGTACAGGAAGTCCAATATTAGTATGAGCAATATTTCAGGGAGTAGAGAATATACATTGAATTTTACCATTCTAAAATATTGAGACAAATAATGGCAACAATTCAAAGCATCAGCTTAATTTCAGATTAAGCACAGTATCGAACTTCCAGAATCACTGACTGTTGTAATGATTAATGCTTATTTTCCACTCATTTATATCTTGATGAAGAAGCAGAAAAAATGTGGGGAAAGGTATCTCAGGATGTAATAATAAAAGGAGTCCCCATCTATTTAATGCTGACTGTGCTGGTAAATCTCTCTCTCATTTTACAACAGCTCCCAGAGGTGGGTATTAATGTGTGCATGTTACTGAAAATGGAGCTGGACCTCAGACAGGTTAAATAACTTGCCTGAACTCGTGCAGCCCAAATGTGGTAGAGCTGGACTTCAAACTCAGGCCTGATTTTAAAGTGCCTACTCTTTATGGCCACATAGTCTGCCTTGGACTAATCTGTAACCAGGTTTTACACTGCAAAGAATTATTCCCCCTTGCTTTGCTCTGAAGAAAAAAGAATTCAGTTATTTAAATTATATATATATTCTCATGAAGGAAGAGGATACTGGAATCACTCAAATTCTTCCAAATCAATGATCCAATGATAATTCTCATATAGTGGTCTGTTATAAAAACATGTCTGACTGAGTATGTATTTTACCACACCAATTTGAGAAAATCTGCTTGGGGTAAATATGTCTCTCACACGTATATTTACGGTCTTAGTTTGGGTAGGTGCGTGGTTTTCAATGGAAGGATTTTGGATTGTAAAAATAAGACCTCTTAAAAATTAAAAAAATACTTACTAAGCATGATAATTGCCATAATACTAGGCATAGGGATTGTAGGGGAAAGGTATAAAGGGACAAAATTGAGCCGAAGGAAAGAAGCATCTGAAAGAGAGCTCTGGCTCTTCAAGAGCTCAGCTGTTGTTTCTGAAACTCCTCCTAACGTGTCTGCACAGCTGGCTTCCGAACTGGGAGCATCGCCAACCGTGAGCACCATACATATTCATCTCTGGCTTGGCTTTTTCACTCTGCAAGGAAGGTAGCTGAGATCTGCTTAGCTTGGCAAATCATGCAAAAGGGGTTTCTCCACAGGGCTTTGCTTCCTCACTAGGACAGATCCCAGACTGATGCTGAAGGCTTTATCCTTCTTTTGAAATAAATTCCCAAAAGAAAGTGCAATTGTAGCATGCTTGTAAGGAGACAAATGCAAATGTTGGTAAAGAAAATCAGTTGCGTGGGAAACAATGAGTAGAAACATATGCATATTTTCCAACACTGGTTATAAAATATATTTGGATATGATCATCCTTACCAGATGTACTGATGGATGCAGCTACCAACTTGTTTTGACTTTGAGTAGGAATCATAGACACACGGCCGGACACGACCATGAACTCCAGATCTAGACAGTTTGGTTACAGGAGATCCCAGAGCATTGGCAAGAACTCATTATTGGTTGGGATGAAATTATATACAGTAGATGCTCTCTTAACCAACCTCCCTTTAACCAATTTACTGAATTAATTGTGGCTCTTCATCTTCTTTGTAAAATGGAATGTTCCAGAGTAACAGGTTTCTCTCTCTAGTACCTCTGTGCACCTGTTTCTGCTACCGATTGAGTTGTAACCTTAAAAACTTAGAGTCAATGATGTTTATTTCCAAGCCTGTTTATGCCTGTTTTACTTGTTATTGTGACTATGTAATTTAATGAATCTTACATAACCTATGAAGTATGAGTATAGTGGTTCTATGAAAACAAAACTAAATGCTTTGGAGAAATTTAATAAGGGAGGTCGTTAGGCAAATCTACTGTTATGTAGAGGAAAAACTTGAAAACATTGGGGAAATAAGCTAGATGGAGTAAGCATTCAAACTGCTTTAAATTCCATAATTCTAACTGTATCACAATAAAACAAAAGCAAAACTAGAAATCATAAACTGTCTATTTGGGTCTGGTTTAGGCAAACAAACAAGTACAAGGACTTGTAACTATAATCAGCAGGATGATCTTCATAGGAAAGATGTTGGCTTCACCCATAAGATTGGCAAAATTTTAAATTAAATGTTTATGTTTTGGATAGATATCACTTTCTATAATTCCCCCCACTGGCTGACTCTCTTTCAACCAATGGACTTTTTCCCATTAGCTCTAGGTTCTTATCATAATCAGATAACAGGGCTTCTACTGCAAGGCTACTCCAGTTGTGGTCCTCAGACCACAGCAGCATCACAGGAAGTTTGTTAGAAATGCAGAATCTCAGGCCCGTGGGGGACGGTGCCTAGGAGCTGTTTTGACCAGCTCTTCAGGAGATTGTGCGGTGCACTGCTCCACTGTATTCACAAATTCCTGGAAGCACTAAAACTGCATGCAGCCCTTTCAGAAAGCACGTGGGTACAGACTCATCAGGAATCATCAAAGTTTCCTTTTGACTGACTCAGCAATCCTACTTCTAGGAATATTTCCTAAGGAAATAATTCAAAAGAAGAAGAAAAGTTGAATAAAGATATCCACACATGAAAATATCCATGATTGTACCACCTGCAATAATGAAACCATGGGTAGATATCTGAGTAAGAAGGGAAGAATGGTAAATAAATTACAGGCAGTAAATCAAAGTGATAGATATTAAAGGTTTGTGAAATGGTAGTATGTTTCTAAAGTTAAGTAAAACTGTAACATGCACTATGGTTATGTGATATAAATATCCATTAGCAAATGACTAGTTCCATTGTATTAGAGTGGTATTCGGTGATGATTTAGTTTTCATCTCTAAAAATTATTTTAATACGGTTGTAATAATGTTTATATAATAAAAACATCTTAATTATATAATTTAAAAGCACCATTATTTAATATTGATACTACACTCTCAGCGTACAATTTAAAGACCCTTTTAACTATGTAAAACACTGCTGCAATGTCATCGCCAGCTGCTGTATGTAAAACATCAAGATGCAATATCTTTTGTGACAGATGGGCAGGTAGAGAAGTCAGTCTTAGCCCCGGAGACTGTCAGTACCTGAATTATCTTCATCTTTGCGGATCTTGAGCTTCACCAGGTCCTCGCACTGCTGGAGGATCTGAACCGCATCTTCCATGGAACAGTTGTCCAGCCGGATGTTGTCTATTGCAAGTAACTTATCCCCAAGTTCCAGGGTTCCAGTTCTGTTCATGAAAGCATAGCAACGCATAATGAGCAATGAGCACGTCACCAGGCCATTTAAGAGGCATTAAGCATAATGTAGCCTTATGGTAGTCCTTAGAGGAAATGAGGTTCTTCGACTGTTTTTAAATGGCATTTTATTGACAAACCCTCTTTTTTTTTCCCAGTCTTATTTTGGATGGCTGCCATGACATTAAATTTCAGAGTATTAAAAAACATTTTTTCTTATGCTTTTTTCCATCAGACCAGGACAACATATAAGCTTCACTCAGGAATTCTAAGGTTCCTAGGAAGGCGGGTCACAGGCAGCATTTACAGAGCTCGGTGTCCTCATGCTTCTCCACATTGTTGCACCACTTTTGATCCTTGGCAGTCCAGGTACAAGGAGAGGGTTGAGGGAGCGAGGGAAGTGCAGGTGGGATGGACTTAGTGGAGGTCTGAGTCTTGGCATCTGTGCCATCTCCACAGGGGGAAATCACTGGGGCTGCATGAGGGAGAAAAGGTGGATCGACGCTACCTGTCTGGAAGGTGCCACGGAGAGCCTAATATTGCCTGTGGACCACACGGTCTGTTGAAAGCTTTTCAGGTCCATCATGAAGTGAGAAAATTAATGAGAATGTATACTTGTTTGTATGTGCATGTATGTACGCACACACATATTTGTAAGGAAGGTTATGTTTTGGTAACAACTATCCTTTATGTGTTATGTCTGTGACAGAGATTGCTAATTGCTTCCCAGCATCCATTCTCCCCTTTCTTCTTCTGGGTCACCCCCTAAAGATGCATGCTCCAGGCTCTCTGGGCACCACCCCCAGCTCCCCTCTATGGCTAGACTGGAGCAATGACTGAAGCAAGCTGGTGAGACTGGCTTCTTTGATCCAGTCTGTTTGTGAGTCTTCTTGTCACAGCATCTCAGCCCATACATATACACCTAAACTCATACAATGAGTTAAAGATTTTTCTTTAATAAAATGACCGTGATAATGATGTTTTTTTGTCTTTAACTGAAAAATAAAAAGAAATTTAGTCTTATATCAGTATTCCCGATCACTTAAAAATATTTTTGATTTGTGAAATCAAAAGTGTGAAACTCCCTGATTTTGATGGCATATGGACCAAATAAGAGACGTGAACATTGCTTTAGCCTCCAGGATCTGGCTTGCCCGGGAGGCACACTCCGGCACCTAGCAAAGCTTTCCCACAAACTGTTATCTTGGGTGGGGTGTCTTTCGTAATCGGGGCCACTTTCCATTTTTTAGCTGGAAAATGAAGGATGGAAGATGATCAGTGAAGGAGAGCCCATGCTGGACTCATGAAAGACCCTAAAAACATTTTCAGGTAATTATTTTCTGTACTGGGTGCAGAAATAAATTGATATGAGGGGAGAGATCCATATAGCTATTGACATTAGGGATGTCAAATATGATTGATCAATAGTGGCTGACTGGGAAATACTGAGAATGCCATGATCCATTAGCAAGGTCTGCCTAGGGTGTGGAAGCAGTTATTTCTGCTTTAATTAAGAAATTCCTTGGAATGAATCAGAAAATCCATTTTCCTTACCTGTGCGCCACACTGCCTTTCTTGATATCTGATATGACGAGGGGGTCTCCTGGTTTTCTACTGGATGGTGCTGCAATAAGGAAGATAGAGCAGTCAGAGTTTGACATCCACGGTTCACCCACTACTGCACATTTCCTCTGTTTCTAACAACTGCTAATGCAAGAACATTTTGTATGTAAACCAAAGATGATCGACAAATTCATTAGAAACTGTGCCATTACATCTTCTTGAGATAAAAATGTTTGCGTTAAAGTACTTATAAACTTAAAGACTAAAGCCAAGTCATTTTGAATTTGCAGTTGGAGAAAGCAGTTGGAGAGCTGCCGATCAGGTTTAAATCTATTTCAATCTGTGATTCTCAAGAGAAGGGAGTGAAGGGTGGACAAGCCAATGGGAAAGTGTTAAAAGCAACTGGGAGCTCCCCTTAGTGGGCCTCATACGTGATCCCTTCTCCCACCCCTTCCTTCACTCCTTCCCGGTGAGGAGACACCACTCTCTATGGGACCGTGCCATATTACTCAAGTGTACTGGGTGGGAAACTGGATGAGTATCACTGATTTACAGTTCTTTTCTAGAAGGAAATCTTTTACTAGACTATAAATCTTAAAATTTTGCTCATGAATTCATACCTCCAGTGCTCCAAAATGTGACCATCTTATCTTATTGACAGTAGTAAATATTTAGTGCTACTTATATTTTATACGTATTCTTATTCTAAACATGTACAAGTAACTTTTATTGAGTTTACAGATAAAACTATTGTCCTGCACAGTGGTCAGTTTTGAGCTTTATAACTTTTTGATGAGAAAGAAAAGCAATTAGTAATGAGTCTACTTAGAATTAATCCTGAAAACAAACTATGGTCTGTATAAGCACGAAAATATCATCTTGACCTAGAAAGCGTACATTTAATTTAATAGTTTGGTAGTCAGCATTAACCAAACCAACATGTGTAAAACACAATTTGCCTCTGAAAGACGTTTTGCCAACCTAAAGCCTGCAGTGATTTCCTTTTAAGGATCATTAAAAGGCCCCTAAAGTAAGATTTTATTATAAACAGTCCGATCACCCCATAACAATCATAGAACCATATCATATCCCATAATCCCATATGAATCCCAGGAAAATGTTTATGCACAAGAACAGATGGTTTAATATCCCAACATAACATTGAAAGAAAAAGGAAACACACATACTGATACCTTACCCACTGTCTAAATTAGTCCATAGTAAATGTTAATGGGACTTCATTCAATCATTATCCTTGGCTTCTAGCAAAGAATGCAAAACATTCCATTCACCACAATTAATTCATAATTCAAACTTCCACTCAATGATTTGATATAATTCCTCTAGAGAAAGATAGACATCTAGCATTTTTACTCATGTCATGTTTCAGAACTGCAAATTGTTCTGGGCATAGAGCACAAAAATAAAAACTTTGTTATTACCAGCAAATACGACTTTTCTAGCATCTGCCAAAGAATTTACACAATATTTTGCCAAGCTGTAGTAACCATCACAGAGCACTCAATGTTTCCCTTGGTTTTTAAAAAAATCCATGTTCCACTGAAATGGTGTGAAATAAAACAACAGTGGAGGCAAGAGAATAGATCAAACCCATCTCTGTCATCTTTGCAACAGAGGAAAATAGCCCTGTGACCTCTTGGACAAACACACACAGCTTTGCAGAGAGGTTTGAAACTGCTTATGGTCCATAGACATGTATGGTGGTCATTCACACGTTTACTAGATTCTTCTCTTTCTCTTTTAACCACGTCCATATCCAAGGCTTGAAAGGTTCATCAGAGTAGATGCCCACTGGAGTGATGAAGTGAACCCAGAAGTGGGGCTAAATCTGTATGAGCTCCGATACTGTCACGACCATGCCTACCAGGCACGTTCAACGTGGCAATGCATGCTCCGGGGGGCTCAGTCATGGTCTGCCCACGCTAGTGAATTCCCCACTCTCTGAGAAGTCACAAACCAAGCATACTTTGCTTGACCTGTAGTGCTTTAAATAAATTAAATCAGTTGCTAACATTTAAAAATTAGTAGATTTCATCCAGCTATACAGCTTCTTTTAAAAAATTAGAGAGGCAATATGGTATAGTGATGAAGTTGAGACTTGGCAGCCAGAATGCTTGGGTTCAACATCCTGGTTCTACCACTAACTAGCCACGTGTGCTTGAACACACAGTCTTTAGGCACCTTAGTTTGCTTGTTTGCAAAATGGTGGTGAAGAATAATAATTGTGCTTACTTCACAGAGTTTTTGTCATAAGGATTGAGTTCTTACAGTAAAGTGATTGGACCAGAGAATACAGATGCACTGTGGAAGTGTTTGTTATTACAATGGTCCAGCAACGCTGGACTCACTCTCCCACTCCCCGCTTTAGATGGAGCCTTCCGTCTCCCATTGCTGCTGTCCTCATTGGACGGATCTCACTCCTGACTTGCCTCACCCCTAAGGGCTTCTGCCTTTGTGACACTTTGGATGACAATATACCAGCACTCAGTGCTCTGAATGCTATTGGAGTGCCCACAGAATCGTTCATTTAACACATATTTATTGAATACCAATTACGAGCAGACAACACCTCTCCTCTGGGCACTGGCCATGAAACCCCAGCAAAGCTGGATAAAATGGAGAGGCAGCGTTGGTTAAATCTCACAAGGTCGTTAGGCATGAAATAGTCTTCTCTCTTCTGCAAAGTGGTTCCAACTGGGCGGGCCATACAAATACGTCACATGGGGGGAGGTGACACTAAATGGGTCAAGAGTGTGGCTAAGAAAATAAGGGCAACAAAAGGGGATTCAGTTCCAAAAAAGAAATAAAAAAGTCATAACTGCTTGAAATCTTCGTAGAAACTGATGAAACATACAGAAGTGAAAGCCTGAGAAGACATTGATACAAAAATCCCGTTATATGATACACATTAAATTGAAAACACTGCCTTTCCCCACTCATAGTTCCTAAAGTAACTTTAATTCAGACTCTTCACTCGTGTCTCCAGTGTTAGTTGTTTTCGTTGTTACTACAGCTGCATTTTTTGAGGCATCTACAAACTTTTTCATACTTCATCGTCACATCTTTTACGGCTCCTTTGCAAACCAGCCAGATGATGTCACTGGAAGTTTTTCTCCAAATCACAATTACCGCTTTGTAGAACATTAGAATAGTCGATATTTTTCATGCTGCCCATAGGCAGACATTCTTGATCCTTGCAAGGAAATTACTATATTACCATACTAATTTTAAATTTTACTTTTTATATCAAAATTACACAGCATACAGTTCGAAGAGTCAAAAGTTCTACAGGAGCATTCCTTCATTTCCTGCTTCCTCAGATGCAACTTTTGGCTGTTTCTAAATTGCTAAATAACATACAACCAATCCTACTTAATTATTTTTCACTGTTAGTTATTTACTTTCTGTGACAAAAGAGTTAGTTCTCTTCTGCTTCTGTACTACCACCCTGTTTATGCATGTTCTTGTTGTCCCCATTCTTCCAGTATAATTTTGTCTTAATCTTCTGTAAGATCAATATTTGATGTTTCTTTTGCCTCTGTAAAGAGTGTCTGCAGACACGTCCTGTAGCATCCCGTGATGACTTGCCTTTTCTGCAGGATACGTTTTCCCTGCAGTTATCTGTTATCTTGATGTCTTGGTTGGCTTAGTTTTCTTGTGTTTATCCTGAATTCAACTCCTCAGATTTCCCAGGTTACGTCAATCTCCTCTCAATATGTCACGTGTATCAGGAATTCTATCAGAGGTTTACAGCCTGTCTGGACTGTTTGCTTTCTAGGCTTGCTACACAGATCTCAGCAACTTCCTTCCCACAGAACCTGGGAACCCAGATGTTCTCTTCACTTCTGTTAATTAATTAAACAAAGATGCCATTAGACTGAGGGGGCTCTAATGCCACAAATGGCCTGAGAAGCAAACCAAGATCTCAGCCTCTAAATGCCTCAAGGTCACAAATCAAAATGCTAACAACCAATCACAAACAGCCACCTAGCCTTTCAGCTGCAGCCAATCCGATGATGCCCTTTGGGTTTTTTTTGCACTTTCTCCATATAAGTCTTTCCCCGGCTCCTGTGGGCCCCTTGCTTCTAACTACTTTCAGTTTGGCGCTGCCCAACTTGAAGCTATTTTTGCTCAAATAAACTCTTAAAAGTTTTACTCTGCTTCAGTTTATCCTTTAACACTGCGCTCTAGCATCCTTGGAGGCCTTGCACCCTGAATCCAACTCTGCCTCTTTCTGGCTTGACTCTCTTTCCGTGGGACACGTTCCCCAGGAGCTTTCTGAGGAAGAGCGCCTGCGAGGAGAGCTTTTGAGACCTTGCATAGCTGGAAATGCACTTTTCTACCTTCACATTTGATTGGCAGCTTTGCTAGGTGGAGAGTTCCAGGCTGGAAATCCGTCAGAATGTTGAAGGTGCTCTTTCACTGCTTTCTGACGTCCTGAGCCGCGTGGAGAAGCCTGATGCCCTTCTGCTCATGTGATTATTATTTGTATTCTGACACATTTTATGAAAGTTCTCTCCTCCCACCACTGGAAGCCTGTAGGATTGCTTTTTCGTCCCAGTGTTTTCAGATCTCATAGCAGCATGCCTTGGTGTCGGTCTGTTTTCATCCATGGCTCATGGACCCATCAATTTGGAAACTTATACCCATCAATTCCAGGAAATTTTATGATATTTATTTGAAGCTTTTCTCTCCGCTTTCTTTCTGTAACGACTATTCTTTGGATATTGTGTCATTTGGACTCATCCTGTATAATTCTATCTATTCTAGATTCTTCATTTATTTGTTGTTTTTATCTAATTTCTGGAATTGTCCCTTAACTTTGTTTTCCAATATTTTTACTTTTTTTATTTCTGTGATATGCTTATGTTTCAAGAGCTCTGTTTCCCTCTGTATATTTTGTAATAAATAGTATTCATTTCCTCCCGCCTATGAATACGATATCTTATGTTGCTAATGATGTTAATGACAGTTTTTTCTTTTTGAAGTTTTCTTCTTCCTGCATGCACTGTTTCTCTGATTTTCTTCTTTGTTTTTGGT